TGCCACCGCTCCCTCTGCCACTGCTGGGTTTGTGTCTGGCTGCTGCCCCCTTCAAGGCTGGCCACAGGCTGCTGCAGGAGTGGGAGGGCAGGCACACACATACCTGCACGCTCCCCACCAACAGGCAGGTAAGTTTCTTTTTTATCCTGCCTGGGCTCTGGTGGGGTGTGTGCAGGGGGGAGGGCAGACTGAGACCCCCACAGTGCAGGAGGGAGTGTGGGAGGGGCAGCGCTGCCCAGCTCCCTCCTGCACTGTGAGGATTGCCCCATGACCTGGCCCTCCCGGGCCCCCATACACTGCACGTGGGAGGGCTGGCAGTGGCACCAGGCTCTTCCCAGTGCTCGGGCTGGGCTGCGATGATGGGAAGGGGACTGCTGCCTGCCCCCCCCCAGTGCTACTGATGCCAAACATGGGGAAAAGCCCTGTGCTGCCGCTGGCCCCCTCCTGTAGCCAGCCTGGGCTCTGGGCAGCTGAAGCGGGCAGGATGCAAACAGCTGCATCGGGTTCCGCAGCCCTGGCATTAACTGCATACCAGTGATTGCGTGTGTGCCTCAGAGCAGAGTGGGTTTATTCCTGCTCTCTGCTCTGAGGCGTACATGCAGTTGCCACCAGCATGGAGCTGATGCCGGGACCGCAGAGCAGACAGCGGGCAGGCTGCTAACAGCTATACCAGGCTCCGCAGCCCCCGGCATCAGCTCCATGCTGACGGCGACTGCATGCACACACGCCTCAGAGCAGAGAGCAGGGATAAACTCGCTCTCTGCTCTGAGGTGCACATGCAGTTGCCGGTATGGAGCTGATGCTGGGGCTGTAGAACCCAGTGCAGCTGAAGCAGGCTCTGCCTGCTTCAGCTGCCCAGAGCCCAGGCTGGCTACAGGCAGGGGCTGGTGGCGGCACAGGGCTTTTCTAGGCTGCACTACCTCAAGGCCCCTCCCACCATCCCACTGCACTCAGAGGCGCGCAATGCTGGAGCCTGGAGCAGCTCCTTTGCAGCCTCCTGGCTGCAGCCAGCCCAGGCTCTGGGTAGCTACTGCCAGCCACAGAGCCTGGGCTGTTTGCAGCCTCCCAGCTACCTGCTGGGAACAGCCTGGGCTCCATGGCTGGCAGCAGCTGCCGAGAGCCCAGGCTGGCAGTGGCATGCTGAGCAAAATGGCCTGACATGCCAGGCTAGGCATGCATGCCCTGAGGGTTGTCGACCCTGCCCTACAGACTTACCTCACTGCACCGCGGGTCTCTGCTTCTTCCCAACACCCCAACCCCTGCTGCAGCAGCCCTGGAAGCAGTCAATACCACCAGCCTGCACCATAGCCTGGTGCAACCCAGTGTCTGGGTGAGTGGGGACAAGCAGAGCCCCGGAGCTGATCACATAACAGTGAATTTACCCCGCATATAATGAATTTGGGGCATAAAAATGGTCATCACATAAAAGCAAATTCACATATACTGAACCCACATAAATCAAGGGAGGGAAACCTGTATACTTTCCTAAAATAAGATACTTTCATCATTCATCAACCCTGCACTTGCTTGCCAGCTTTTCTGCATCAAAATTCTCCTGCTTTATGAAAAATAGAGTTGTCCATCAATAGAGGGGAGAAAAATTGTGTCTCTCAGAGTTTAAGCATGTGCCTGTCTGCTGTAGTTTCCACTTTAAGTGTTTAAATTTAAGTGGGCTTGTGTCATTGTTTCAATTTTACTGTTTATGAGTGTGTTAAAATGGATCATTTTCCTTGTAGAAAGAAAGACTTCAGATTTAGAAGGTAGTTCCCAGACAAATGTGCAACAAGTGTTGGAGCCAGAGGAACATGGTTTCAAAAAAAAAAAAAACACCAAGCCTCAATAGTGAAACTACAAAATCTTCACTGGTTCATAAAGCGTATAGCTATGATCCCAGTTATCTGGCTTTCGGGTTTACAATAAACAGAGGTATACCTTCATTACCACTTTATGCGATTTGCAGCGAGACATTGTCTAATCATTGTATGAAGCCTTCCCTTCTGAAAAGGCACCTTCATACTAAACATTCTGATCTGAAGGACAAATCAATAGATTTTTTTCACAAGAAAATGTGAAAGTTTGAAAAAAATCAAGTGCTGCTATGAAGTTGTA